GTCTACGTGACATATCCACTGTGAAAGGGTTAACGCTCAAATTCAGCCTGGAGACATTTAACTCACTTAACTGCAGAAGAAGGAGGAACCTTTCTTTATCCTGAATAGAATAATAAATTTCTTGATGATTCCGTGGGAGGAATGTTCCGTCTGGCTGGCTCATGATCAGAAAACTTGCTTTAGATTATGCCACAAATTTTGATTTTGGGAAAACAAGAGTCTGAAATTAGCTGACAGAAATCAAAGGTTAAAAAAGGGGGAAAAATGAGTTGGTTACCTAGGCAAAGTGTTTCCCTTAGAGTTCCCAGGACTCAGTATTAGGATAGTAAGTAAATCAAAGCATTGAAAAGAGAGTTACCACTGTGAAGAGAAAGCCGAGCTTCAGTTTCTTAAGAGAGATTTTAAAAAATACAGAGGAAAACTTTTTCTACCTACAAATCAATCTCAGAATCCTTCTCCTCCTCCTGGCTCTTCTTTTGTAAGTCTTTGTCTTTCTAAAATACCACCTTGGGAACAATAAGGAGATTGGCTGCAAAGTCTTTCAGTGGAAATAAATGTCTTTCTTGATGAGGTCACTCTGGAAATTACTTCTCTATATAGAAAAGAAAAAAAAATTAAAGACACCTGGTTGGAATGATATGCTAGAGAAGTTATAAAGGGTTAAAATTATATTCATATCAAAAAAGATCATGTTCTGGTTATTGATGAGTGGTTTTCCACATCCCCATAGATGTCTCAGACTGAATTTCGATGTATACATCACAACAGAGGTCAGCAGTAGCCTGGTGCTGTTATCCTGTATTATGGATGAAAGAACTGATAATCACAGTAAATCATCTACAGAAATAATATTCTTTTTTAAAGATTTATTTATTTGTTATGTATACAATGTTCTGCCGGCATGTGTCCCTGAGGACCAGAAGTTTGCACCAGATCTTATTACATGTGGTTGTGAGCCACCATGTAGTTGTTGGGAATTGAACTCAGGACCTCTGGAAGAATAATCAGTGCTCTTAAACACTGAGCCATCTCTCCAGCCCTAGAAATGATCTTCTTACAGTGGATATTTTGATAGAACAAAATGTGTTAATTAATTATAATCTGAACTACAAGTAAATATTTTATAGATACTGAACTCATGGCACACAGGTTTACTCAAAAGCTCTATTCAGCATTCATGTCATTTATGTTATCAATTATAAACAGAATCCTTTAAAATTATCAGCTATAATAATAAACAATTATTTGCTTAGAGTGAGATTCTTTTTTATGTGTTTTTCTGACATGCTGGTGTTGGCCCCATGGCCTCATACACACAACTCTGAATCATCCTTACTTTACAGCAGTATTAAGGGAAACTGAAAGGTTTCCAAGGAGAGGTGAAACAATTTAGAGATTCTGATTCTTTTGTTAAATGTTTTCAAGACTAACTAAGTACTAGTCAAGTTTAAGTTCACTGTGTATTTTTCTCACATAGGCCCTCCTTAAAAAGAAAAGCTTCACAGTTTCCTCCTTTCCCTGTGTTAAATCGGTTCAATATTTTAATACAAGTCACAAAAGTTTCCATTACAGTAGTCAGTGATGTTACAAGTCCAATCAAAAGATTATTTTACCTACAGTGTTCAGGCTGGAAAAAAGCAGGTTCTGCAGACCTCAAATTTCCTGAAAGCAAGATATTTCTGTATCTGTAAAAGGTCCATTTATCTTCTTTGTCTTCTTATACTGAATTGTTGGGTATTTTCCATTTCCATGGTTAGAATTGAAGCCAATACTGAAATGTGGTCAGCAAAAACTCTTTGTTTATAAATTCACCCAAGTATAAGATGAAGCAGCCAATGTCTGTACCACAAAATCAAAAGATTCAAGGTGCTCTGAAGTTTACATATGCAAAATATAAATGGCTCCTCATGTTTGACCTTTCATTTTCCCTTCTTTCACTTTGAAAATGGCCATTTTATTATGGCAGAAATATTATTCCTATATACTTAGAAGGAGAATTATTTGTGAAATCATTCAACTGTGTAGTATAAAAGAGACAGCTCATTTCTATCTCATTTTGTCTTTGATTATGAATTAGTGGTGTGAAAATTGCATGGGGACCAATTTATTTAAGAAGAAAGATCACAATAATTTCGAGTTGGAAGACATGGCTGCAAAGTCCTCAGAAAATGCACAGTTTTTCAGCTGTCTGCATGAAGATCAAATTAAGTGGGAGAGTAATTCACCTCTCAAGTATGGATTTGAATGTATTGGACACTGCAAAATTTTTATTCTCATACCCTTAAATGTATAAATTCTGATTATCTCAGTTTAGAAACATCAATTCATAACCATTTAAAAGTAGAGATTTAAGGAAATAAATGATTAATAATTATAAATATAATTGGAGGATTTGATTTTATCTTATACTTCCAACACTAGATATCACAGCAAATAGCAACAAAAATATCATCATCGACTATACATTCGCTTATCATTAACACAGAAAACACAAACTACATAACGGGATCCCATAGCTCCATCTTTGTGTCTATATACTACCTATCTATCAACCTATACAAATACTTTAAAATTGACAAACTCTTTGACTATTTTAATTGCTTCTCTATATTATCAAGACATCTTGTTTTTATTATTTTTCACAGTAGATGTTCATATAGCAGTGCAGTAGTAGCCTATGAAGGAGCTCTTGAATTTACAATCTAGGCAAAGGCAAATTGTGTATAAACTACATATCTACCCAAAAAGCCCTTCAACATCATGATTTATTCTACAAGGGGATGTTGAATATTTGGATCCTGAATCCAAAGTCACAGTGAACAAATGTCTTACATTCTACAGGACAGTCCTAGTTTATGGTGTTTTCCAGACGTAAATATGAACAGCAGCTTCTTTCTCTTTAATAAAAACATCCACCCTTAGAAAAACAAATTTTACAGTCGTAATTTTCAAAACAAAAGACTTTATGATTTAAAATGAACAATTGTAGTAAAAGGAATATCTTTTCTTTTCTTTTCTTTTCTTTCTGTGTTTTTATCCTGAGTCATTTTGTAACACTTAGACTTCTTTTCAAACCTAGGGGATAGGACAAAATTTGGTCTCTTATTTTCTCGTTCTAAAACAAAACACACAATCCATGCAGCTTTAAGTACTCCTCTGAAAGATTATTGTAATGTGTAACACATTTTCTTTGCTTTTTTCGACTAATTTCAAAATTACAGAGAGAACAGAGGAAATCCATTCATTATTAAATGATATTTTATTCTCAGAAATATTTCCTTTTAAATAGAGGCTGAAATTAGACTTTCCCTGGAATCCAGTAATCTACCTTCTCTTTCACACAACACTTGTGTACAGAGCCTTCCAAGGCCACAGTTATAAACAGGCAATTCTAGAAATTATGGAATGGGCTGGAAAAACTAAGGTTCTCTGAATATAAAGAAGGAGAACACATTACTTCATGAAGATTTTTTTAAATGTAGAGTATTTTATATAAAAATAATCCAGATACCAGTTATCTCCTGGTCCAAATAAGCAGGAGCCACATTATTTTAGATTCTCAAGTCAGCCTAATATTCATGAATGGACTTTTTCACATAGGCATATACACAAGATTTTCTTAAAAAGATGAATCCTTCTTGTCTTCGTAAAAGAACAAAATAATGTTCTTGTATAAGAGTTTCTGACTGGGATGATGAACATGCAAGCACTCCATTCTAAAGGTGAGAGACTGAAATGTTGTCCCTTTAATGTTTATAATAGTGAGAGCTGGAGAGGTGAGTAATGTCTGTATAATGACCTTCTTGCTTCCTTTTCTGTGACGCATCTCCATTTATCAAAGTATCCCCAAAGATCTAAGTAGCATTGCAATGAATGGCAAGGCCATAATACATTTAACATAAGCCATAAAATCATATTTTATTTCATAACAGAATTTTCTCCAAATCCATTAACCTCCTTCACACTGAGATACCAATATCCCACACTGCCATCAGGAACCAAAGTTTCCTACTCTAATTGAATATAAATTCTACATGAAGCATTTGGAAAGCCAAAAAAATACCTATAAGAAAACTAGAAATCTGATGTGGAAAATGCTAATATTCTAATGGTTAAGTCTAAGATAAATATATTAGAGCCCAATTAAAGCTAAAATTGCTTTTTAAAAATTTGGTAGCTGAGGAAATAACAACATATAAATGAAATGTACTTTTAAAGGCTAAGTTATAACCTTACTTTACAATAAACCACAGGAAAAGGAATACAGGAAAAGAACCCATATTAGAAAGGGTCTAAAAAATAATGGAATAGAGCCGGGCGGTGGTGGTGCACATCTTTAACCCCAGCACTTGTGAGGCCCAGGCAGGTGGATTACTGTGAGTGCAAGGCCAATATGGTGTATAAGAGCTAGTTCCAGGACAGGCGCCAAAGCTACAGAGAAACCCTTCTCAAAAAAACAACAACAAAAAAGATAGATTAAATATTCTCTGTGTTTTAGAGAAATAAAATTAGTTTGTACTACTTCCCTAAAAGTAGTATAAAAATGTTCTTCAAATAGGTTTTTGTATACTATTTGCTATTATTAATGTTGGTTCAGGATTAAAACAAAAACCTCGATTGTGTACCCACAAACCAGGCAATATTAAAACAGACTTTCACTAACGACTTAGTAAATATTCAATTAAAAGTTAACAACTACAAAGTGCAAACCATTTCATTCTGTGAAAGATATCTCAGGTTGTCAGTCTGCTGGAAAGTATTTAAGGGGGTGACTGAGGTATTCCCTGGTATAATGCCAATTTTAATCAACAGATTTTTTTAATCTATAATTTCAATATTCGGAAGAAGAAGTTAGGTATCTACCTTGCTATGTTGCTGATAAAATGGCTTCAGCTACTCATGACAAAATTATTTCAACTATATTTCCCATTTGCATTGAGAAATGACTTGCCATTTCCCAGTTCCTACCCTGCAGCATTTCTCAAAGTCAACATATTTACCTTCATTTTTCTTGATGGTGAAATTTGGGTTGTTGACCATTTCTGGAAGAAGACTGTACAAGAAATAATGTCCATTTTTGGGATCATCTTTGTCCATGGCGCTTACTGTTTGAATGACCTGTAACATAAAACGGGCATCAGCATTTCTGATCACTTCAGAGGGCTCCCATTGCTTGTAATAGGCCAGTGATATCCTTTTTGTGGTCTGGTACTTTGGTCCAAAGACTCATTTTCAGCTTTCTAAATCATCATGGATGGTTTGTGCCAAGAATGGTTTGAGCAGTATCCATCACTTTAAAACCTCAGCTGTGATAAGTTGATGAAAATTAAGAGCATTACCTTCATTTCCATTTGATGTCTGTAACTTGAAATAGCAAAGTTAAGTGTATTTGAAAGTTCCACTGGGCAATTACAGGTTTCTTTCCAATTTGAGTATTTACGGGCATCTAGAATGAGATTTGGAACTGTTACAGTGACTGGAGTGGGCTTTGGGGAGGACTTTGGAGGTAAGACTTAAACCTTGAATCCTCACAACACCTTTTTACCCATTAGAATATGTGTAGATGCCAGATGAAGTGCCCCTCACACAAAACTTCCTGGGGAGCTGTGTTGTTCTCTTCCAATAACGAATGTTGTTTTTAAAGTTAGTGGATAATATATCAAACAATGCTTGGCTTTGTATCCCGAGGTCACTAGATGACAGGGATCAGAAGAACGGCTGCTGTTCAGACAGACAAATATTCTTGGAATACTACACTGAAAGTTCTATGTTCATTTTCAAATTCATACTAACAATGCCACTTTGTTTCCTAGGATGACAGGGGATTATCTTAATATTCATTTATGATTTCATGATATTGGTTACTTCAACAGGAAACAGTCCACAAGAGCAAAAAAAAATGTGGCTCATATGGCATATAACTATCACATGATTCCAATAAGAATGAATCTTGATAGCAAAGGTGGTAATAGATATAGCAAAAGTGTGATGAGAAGGAAGTGCTCTCAGAATAATAAAATGCTGAGTAAATAATGATGCTTCCAAATATATTGTGTATATTTGAATATAAATGTTCCATTGGATTTTGAAATTTTCAATGGAAAGGAAAAAGATTATTTTTGTATGACTTTATCTTGTGACTTATGATTTATTCAAATGTGAGAACTATGATCTCTGAACTTTAGTATTTTTGAGACTTTGCATTGTACCATAAAATATATTTGGAAAAGTATTAAAGCTAAAAATTAAAGTTTATGTTACTTTTAAATTTTGTTAAGAAATGTATCTAGTTACATTATATAACTCATTATAATTACAGTCAGCTTGGGTCACCCTATGACCCTAAGTAGCTACAAGTGCAACTCATCATTAAGCATAGAAGCACTCATTAAGAGAGAGGTTTCCTGAGTTAAACTTTCCACATCGAAATCACAGTTTTAGTGTTCCTTCTTTAAAGAAGTAATTTCAGACAATCTGAAACCTAATTTCTTTTTATGCATAAAACACAGTGTTTTTTTCCATGGGTAAATTAGGATTATTTTTTACATTGAAATAATATTGTTATGAAAAGTCCAATAAAATAATCATTTTTAATGCATTTATTAAGGCCAAGGCTACTATTTGATTATGTGATGCTTTATTTGTTCTAGAAATTAGAATAGAAAACTACTGTAACTCAAACAAGGAAGCAATCGAACCCTACCCAGATTTGAAAAGAAAGAAATGTTACTTACTCTTGCCAAACACATAGAATATAAGCTTTCACTTAAGGGCATGGATTAGCTCTGGGATCATAGTGTCAAAATTTTTTTTGAACAAAAGGGCCAGGTAAGAAAATGTTTAGTTCACACAACTCCTTGAAGCACTTTGAATATACAGTTATTTAGGAGACAAGTGCAAACTGACCCCTTTACTTAAGAATAACTGTGAGAATCTCATGTGGTAAGTCAAATGGATGACAGGGCTCTCCTTTGAATCAGGTTTGCCAACCTTTTATGCCTTTACCCAAATCTCTACATTGACTTTCTGTAACAGGTTAGACTGTTAGAGGGGTCATCCATTTTGTATGAGAGTTCAATGAATAATGGAACAGTTGAGGAAATAGTTTCTTGATAATCTGGGGTCACAACTAAGTGTGTTTTAATAGTATACCTTGACTATGTACTAATATTCATAGTATTTATATATAATGTTCATGAAACCTCCCATATGTACTGACTAAATGACTCACATAAGAGTGATTTGATTAGTGAATTCAATATATTGAAAATAACACATGCAATCCATAATCTATTAACCCTGTAGAAAAGGAATACAGCTACTTACCATACCACACCTCAGAACTTTCGTCTGAACATCATACTGGAAATGAAGCATGCTTTTCCCATCATTAATGTCAATGAGCACTCATTAGATACGTGCTTTCTGCATCTTACCCTGAACTAACAAACCAAGAAGTATCAGGGCAGGCCTCAACAACACGCAAGTTCCACAATCCAGTTGATTCTGCCCTAAAGCCATTTTAAATACATGACTAAAAAGAGCAGCGCTCATGGCGTTTTGGTCATTAGGGTAGAAGGGGCTTATTGTAAGAGACAATCCATGCTATCTTCATGACGTGCTAGGAATAAAGGGATTAAAGTGGTGAATCTAGTTGACTTTCCAAACATCCCATACCTTGGTTGCAGTTAGCATTTTGGGGTAAACTATATTCAAGATTTCATTTTACTTTAATACAGGTCACTACTGCGTCAGCACTTTATCTAAATGTTGATGAGGGTAGATCGTTTGAAGGACGCTGTGCCATTAAAATTCATTAAGACATCCATGTTAAGAAGGCTGAATTTTTCAGTGATGTAATAACATCTGAATACACTTAGTTTAAACTGTGGAATACAAAGAAGTGCAGATGTATTCAAGGGAGTGAACCTCTAGAGAGTCTTGTTACAGAGCAAGAGCAGAGATGGCAAGTGGAATTCTCAGAGTTCCTACTGTGAGGTTCTGTGACCTCCATTGATTTTTAATATAATTAAAAATATCATGCAAGGAAATTTATAAAAATATCCAGAGAATTTACAGATGAGAGATCTGTACACAATTTTCAGTTTACATATCTTCTCTTCTCTGTATGAATTTACTGCAACAAGGCTGTTAAGGCTTTGAAATTTCTGATGATATTTATTCAGCTTAAACGAAGACTGAAAACAAATTCTTTACCTCTTTCAAAAAAGAAAGCAAAGAGTACTTAGGGTATTATTAAGGAAATGCATTTCAAAGCCAGGCTTGAATTATGATGTTCACAGACATTGTATTTCTTGAAACTCATCAAAGAATCTTTTAAAAAAAAGAAACTAAATAGAAAGATTCAATAGTATGCATAACAATATAATTTTGGTTCTAATAAAATATTAGATTATCTTTGTTTCTAAATCTGTATGGGATTCTTTTAATTCATATAAAATTGTATGTTCTAATAATTTGCATTTTTTGAAGATCCAATCTGTTAACAAGCGTATCATGTGATCAATAGAACATTACCAACGTGTTCTTGGGGTTACTACTCATTAATTTGTTCTTAAGTCTCTAAATATGACAGTCTGCGAAGTTTTCCCACTCAGTGCTTTATATGCCAAGTAGCAGCAAGTAATTATTTAATAGATGTTAGATAATTGTAAGTATATCAAATTCATCCTAATGACCTTCTAGATTTTTATTATTCGTAATACAGATAAGTAAACTAATGGATATATGGATAAATAAGTGACAACTTGAACATTTTTTTCTTCCTTATTTAGCCCTATAATACCCTAAGAAATAAGTTCTCTGGGGCTAAATAGTACATCAAAGCATTAGTATGTCTCATCCTTAATGTGTGTCAATAAAGACTGGCTTCTTCTCACAGGTATGCAATGTTCATTCAAAGTCCACGGACATTCACATTTTCTATATATGCGTTCTAGGAGAGATGAGCTTAGATTTCTAACATATTTGGAACTGAAAAGTGGACCATATATCCCTGTTGTTCTTTTCCTTGCTTTCAACAATTTTATGGTACTACTGATTCTGAAAGGTAAAATTTATAACTAAATTAATATTTATAATCATAGCTCAACCTGGAGACAAGATAAGAAAGTACTAATGTGTTACAACGTTTGAAATATTCTTCAGGGATTCTGAAAAGAAAAACAATGCACACAAATACATGTGTATTCATTTGTATGTGTGTATATTCTCTAAAAATGCTGCAATGATGGTCACCAAGGTCATAAAGCACCCTGCCATTCAGAAAATGTTACTTTTTAACTTCTCAGTGATTTAATTAAAAGGTGATGTAAAGGAAATTGTCAATAAAAGAATGGAATGTGTAAGATTGTAGGATACAGTATTTTTAAAAATTCTCTCTTATTTTTCTTCTATTGACTGATTTATTGTGGATATATATATATATATAGTGGAGTAATATATATATTACTGAAAAAGAATGTCTCATTATTATAGCAGTAGCTTTTAACTTTTAACTTGGATAGAAATGGATCACTGGTGAAAACATTTCAGGTAGCTCACATTTCTTAACCCAAATTTAAAATTATTTGAACTTATTAATTTACATGTGTACATAAAAAGGATATGCTTTCATCAAATTATCTATGGTGTCCATAATCAAATAAAAAATTGTTGAGAATTATTTTCCAAGAAAGATTTCATTAAAATATTTTTTCATGAAAATAAAGTTAAAATAATCATGATTTACTGAACAAGTGAAGAATTGAAGATATTAAAGGAAACATACACAGATAAATCTTCAATACCCCCAATTAAATCAAAACAAGGAAAAGAACCCAGATGTAATCATAGTTCATATCCATTTAAAAGTTATTGACAGAATGTGTGGGCTAATCTATGTATTAGCCATCCAGTATTGGTCAGGAATTTTTTTCCTTATTCACCATGACTTCCTTAGCCATTTTTATAGATGGAAACACCATTTGCCTCCAACATGCCAGATGTACCTTCAGAACATGCATCATAAGTGGAGAGCTACAAGAAGGACCTAGGAAGGGTATGAGAAATTTCAAGGTCTCAAACAAATATATGAAATTTGGGCCCTCCCAAATCCA